CCCCCCCCGAATAGATTCCAACATTTGATCACTTTTTCGTTTTTATCAGGTGCAGGGGTTATGGAAGGTGTGCATTTTTAGAACTTGGTTTTCATGTTAAAAATTCATGTACTGTACATGACAATTGCTTATTTGCAATATATTTGGTTGTCATCGCATTTTAGACTAGAAGCATTGCAGGATCCATATTCGCAATCGTCTGGTTGTCCATGACAACTAAAACATCGTGGGGATGACCAAATCAATATGAAAACTTAACCACTGGACGAGTTTACAGTTTGACTGTACCATTTCTTAAGTTTTCTTGTGAGTTCCCTACATTCTGACCACTTGCCATCCATTTGGAACTTTACCTCCAATTTCATTGATACGTGACCTTCGAATCAAAACTCCCGTGAGCATTTGGTGATTCGCTTCCATCAATCATGCATTCCTTATATGGTGTTATAGAAAAGCCGCTCTTGTTTTAAAAAATATGCCGGCCACTGTGTAGCCTGCAATTATGGACATGACGTACTGGGAGACTGGTCACGTGAAAAGAATAAAAAGTAAGGTTTCCATTTGCATGCCGTTCTGTTGCCACACCTCCCTACTGAACAGGCAAGTAAAATTTTGCCAGGGCAAGTATGTCACCTAGCATACTTGCCCAGTTGATGACTAAGAGATCCCTGGAGAGTGACATCTCTTTTACGTTGCCTTATGATAAATATATTTTGCATAACAATTAGAGATTTTGGGATCATGTGTACTTAAGACATTCTGTAGTTGAGTGTTGATTGATACCCTTGATCAAGTCCCCGATCAACACTCCGTCTACATCTCGATCGACATGTCTATTGATAGTTGGCTGACACTGGGTTGACACTCAATCAACAGTCGGTTGATAGTTGGCTTAGTGTTGACCGACTCATATGCATCAATCAATACTCCATGGTTTGCCAGCAAAAATTAGTCGATCCTCCACCAACTGTCGACCGAGATGTTGATCAAGTGTTGATCGAGTGTAAATATCTAGGGTATTGATCAAGTGTATTGATCGAAACTCGTCTGAGGATGCCTTTATAGTACACATGATCCAGATTTTGTATGAGGAATGATAATTAAGCCTGGAGTATGTACCAGATTGGCAATCCAGCCCCTGTCTTCCATCCAAAAGATCATAAGTTAACAATTAGTAATAATTATTATCATAATGCACTTACATCAATTTATTAACAGGAGCTAGATGTCATCGACACTTATCCAGTGGAGATTATACCTGGTTTCTTGTACGTGGCAACATTCCTCCAGTCTCAGGCAGTGAGAGTAATCAAGGATCTCAAAGTCAAGGCAAACGTGATTGTTGGAAAACAAAACGACACAATGTAAGTGCCTTGTATGAGGGTCGTACAGGGGGTCTCTGGCACAGTTCATGAGCGGAACACATAGTGAATCATGGATCACGGATGTCAAAATTTAATTTTCCCGAAGATTCACATAAAAAAAGCAAGTAAAGTTCTCTTTTTAATAACCTGCATGCTCCTATGCCAGAAAGAGTGTTTGAAGAAAGCAGAATCGTGAAAGGCTAAGTACAAGATTTTCAAATTGAAATTAAGTAGCAGGAGGAAATCGGAAAGTAGGCGTAGCACAACTGGGTCACAATAATGGGCAGCCATGTGGGGAAATTATATCCCTAAGTGGGTTACCCACTCCCTCATTAGGGAGAAAGGGTGCAGGGCCTGGAAAATTTTGAAAATCCGTGTGCGTTGAGGTGCATTCTGGTGCATTTGTAGCACACAAAAGTGATTTTGTTGGAGCTGTTTGCAAGATGAGTCTCTTTGGAAGTTCAGTTATAAAA